GAATCTGGCAGAGCAGAAAGCGCAACGTGCCTCCCACAGGCAAAAGATGCATTTCCCTTTTCTGCTGTCAAAATCGCTACCGCCCACAGAAAAGGGAAGACGGCAAGATTTACTCCAGCTTGTCTCAGTTCTCTAGGTGAGACAACTCTTAAATCCAGCCAACCCCTCCTTCCAGTGTGAACTGAGTCCACCATCACAAGCTGCACTTCCCAGAGACGGCGTGAGCAGCCTCATCCCAAGCTCAGGCATGACAAGGCTTTCTATGAGGAAATATGTAAATCTATAAATTTTCCTGGAGAAGTCTGTAATTTAAAAGGCCAAGAACCCCTTACCTAAATTAATTTAATCAGCGAGCAACAGAATCTTTAAATAAAGTGGAATTTTACTACAGAAAGATTAGTTGCTGTTTTCTGTGGTTTTTTGAAAAAACAATCCTTTTTGTCCCCCCACAAGCCTACAGGAAACATTTAACTAGTATCTTCCAGTGCAATTTTGCAAGAGATAAGGATAGCTTCCAATCTTTTCTGTGTAAAACAGGAAAAACACTAACCTTTATAACTGAAAAGGTCTAAGTTTATATTTTACAGAAACAACCCTTTGGTTTACTGACTGGTAGATATAGTTGCACAAAGACTTTAATATGCTCTGAGAAAAGAAAGATGAGCTAATTTATCCCACCCTCAGAAACTCATTTAAAAGATGTGAAATAACTATTTTACAAGAACTACTAATCTGTCGGACTGGATTCATCCTATCCAACTGTGGACACTTGCATAAGAATCTGTAGTCAGTGGAAAACAAAAACCAGAGCTGAATGCTCCCTGGAACCACTTCTCTTTATTCTTCAATTGTACCAGGAGTGATGCACAGCAGGTTTCTAACGCAAGTACCCCTGGACATGATCTACACCACTTCTAGAAATAAAAGTTAGGAAAAATGGCTTAAGCACAGTGTTCTAAGTTTAAAATAAGTAATAATTGAGAACTAAGGAAAAAAAAAAAAATCAAAGGCAGTCCTTTGACTTGTCACTCCAAATGGATACTACAGTATTCTATGATACCCCATCAGCAATGGAGGTCAATAGCCAAGGCCATGGTCCAGTATGGACTGAGAAAAGAGTCAATACATGGATGAACAGGATTCAGTATTTCACTGCAAGGACCACTGACTTTTAACATGAAATGACCAGGAGCACAATCAGGACTTGCTAATATTTATTACATAGAAAAAAGCATAAGGGCTCCAATACTGGTGGGGGAAAAAAAAAAACACCACCAAAAGAATTTAATTACAAAGACCACCATCATTTAAATGATGCAGACTAATTGGTTTTATTAATCAACAAACTAAAGATCAGTATCTGCATGCATTTATAAACAGTTAAGTGCATCTGTATCACAGCACTCCGGTTTGCCTTTTCAGCAAGCTGAAATCATAAGCAGTGTCACTCTGCTGACACCACCCAAGCTACATTAGGAGTAAACCCAGCCCACCACGCTTCCTTTTGAAAAGGCTCCAGTTCAAAGCATCCTTGTTTGATAGAACAACAAAAAACAAGTATGCTAAGCTATGATTTGCCTATGGCTCTTATAAAAGCATTTCAAAAGATAAAGCTTCTCTAGGTCAAGAGCTGAATAGCTGTTCTTTAAGGTGTCTTCCAAAAGAAACAATGCCTCAAGTGCTCAAGTTGTTTAGGTCCCAAATGTATCTCACTTTTAACATCCGCACAATATAAATGAAAATCATTCTTCATTCCACCAGAATGTAATTTGATTTTTTTTAAATCAGTCACCCAGGGTGCTCAGCCATTCATGAGGAGTCATTTGAACCTTACCAGATTGGACCCTTAAAAAGAAAAAAAGAAAAACCCCTGAAACTGAATAGCACATTTCCTACAATAACCTGCAAATTTAAAGAGATAAGTTATTGTGCAGAGCTAAACAATTTGACAGGGTCTTTTAAAGACGATATGACCTGAAGTTAAACCCACAGAAATGAAGAATAGGTCTATTATCTGAACATTATTTTGAAAGATGCATTTTAAACTACGATATACAGGTGCAATGTAAAAGATCAAGTGAATTGCAAGAAATCGTAAATGACAAGAAAACAAGTTTTTCAGCTGGATCCAAATAACTACTGCATACATTATAATTATATTTTATTACTGGAATTAGAATTCTCTCTCATTATGTTAACAGAAGAAAAGAATGAACAAGACAAAATATAGCTTACAATGCGAAAAAAATAATTCTGCCTTGTGAAGAGAACTATAACATCCTGCTTAGTTCTCTTATCTTTTTTCACACAAAGATTTAATAATCTTACATGCTCTGAACAGTAGATAACATTTATTCAAGTTCCGTAAACATCCAGAGGTGTAACAGAACAGGTTCTCCTAGAGCTGTTTGAAAACTGCAATACATTTTCTAAGAAAATTTTCCAATAAAGCAAATTTTCGTTTTCTTTAGTTTAGAACGTTTTCGTTTTCAAACAAACACAGAAATTTTCATGCTCCGAAGTTGAAGAAGCACAGATTTTCCTCACCTGCTTCCAAGTAGAAAAGAAAGAGGTAATATTACCAAAAAAAAAAAAAAAGATACCAAGAACCCAACCCCAAAACCAAGATTTTTTTTTTAATGCTTATATTTTCAAACATTTGAACCAAAATTAAGACTTAACTCTCACTGGAAAACAAGAAATCAACATATTTCTTTATCAGAAAAAGCACCTTCAAGATCTCACCCCCTCTCTTTGAAATGCAATACATGGAGCTAATTCTGCGGGTGGTTGAGCAGATGAAATGCTCAGTATTTGGGCCTACTGAGGAGCAAAGTGCAAACCTCCGAAGGCTCATTGTTGCCAATAATACAGAAAAAAAATAAAATTTGGCTGTGAAAATACACAGCTAACAGAACAGGACCAGAAGATAGATGTAATAATCTCACAACTGCTGCAAAATAAGCAAGGATTGGGTTGCAATTTTTAAGGTCTCAAGTATAACTGGGAGATCTGATATTGAATAAGTTGACCATTAGCTAAAATTGAGGTGTCGTGCCTTTTCCTATGAGCTTTGATGGAACAACGACGGAGAAAAAATGAGTTGGTCTTAACGCATGGGTGTCAACTATGGCTCTAAACTGCAAAATTTCCTTAGAGAGCCTTGTTATCTAACCTTTCGGCTCTGAAATATATCTTTTTTTAGTTTCAGAGCAGGAATCAAAAATGCTATTTAGAAATAACGGCACAGCTCCCAGGAAAATGGTTTCCTTTGTAATTGCCATTTAAAATTGCCATTTAAAAGCTGGATAACTGAGATAACGCGCAACAGAAAAGAGAGACACCAGTCTTGTCACTTTATTGTCTTTGTTATGATGAATAGAGAGATATGGAAGGGAAATTTTTTTTTTTTAACTGAGTTTAGGATTTTTTTGCTTAGTTTATGCTTTTTTGTCTGGTTCATTTTGAAAAGATATTTCTGTTGCAGATCCATACTCCAGTTAGGTAGAGGGAAAAATAATCACAATATACATCTTGTTCACATCCTGCGCAACTCAGAGCTAAACCAGCAAAATCAAAGAACAAATATCAGAACTATGAAGTCTAGCCAAATATCCACAACTTTTTCATGCTTTTAAGTAGATATTTCAACATTCTTTTATATATCATCAAGTAATGAGAAAAAGTACAATTTAAGAATATTTTCTGTGGATCTATTTTGTAGAAACAGAAATCGTAGTATGATGGGAATAAATTAGCACAACTGACAACACTACCATGAGTATCAACAAATTGAAAGGAGTAACTTAGCTTAAAATCTAATACACTTGTCATTAAAGACTGAAAATAAATAGCAGAGACTTTGTTCCTCTTTTATGTAAGGTGAGGATGGAAAGGAAAATTTCCTTGTTGAATTGTTACTACGAGAAAAGCCCCCACACTTACCATCACTGTAATCGATGGGTGCATAAGCTCCTAGGAAGAGGGAAGCTGCAAAACTACTAACCAAAGAGATTCTCTGAAAGAAAAAGTGTGAGACAGTGCGTCCCATCAGTATTCACTTCAAAGAAAGTAAATAGTAAGTAACTGAAAGCAGCAAATGTTAATAGATGCTTATTGTTAGGCACAGAAAGTGCACAAAAATACACCTAGAAGGATTATTCAGTTCTATCTCACCGCCTAAGTAACACTGCAGATATCAATCTAAAAGTAACCCCATGATAAAAGCTGTTAATAGCTTTGCATTCTGAAACATGCAAAATACAATTAGCATGTTAGCATACTCTGTTATCATGTATTAATTCACAACCTTGGTGTATCACAGAACCTCATTTCAAGTTAAAAAAAATAAAATGAAATAAAAAAAAACCCACACAAAAACACTTGTATGTTGACGACAGGGGAAACACCCACAAACCATGCACTGGTTCAACCAGAGCACAGGTCTGTAAGCTTTTTAGCAGCTCTGGCAAGGCTCTGCTAGCACCTTTACTGAACTCTTACCTCCCTCCCAGCTGAGACCCCAGACCTCCCAGGAGTTACTGCCAGGAGCTGGTAATGATCAGCTTTGAAGTGAACCACTACCTGCAGCTCTGCCTCAGGGTATGTTCCAACAGTGCATTAAACCCAGCTGTAGGGCTTCTAATATTGGCCCAAAAATGCCCCAGCCACGTGACACAATGCACTGATCCAACAGGAACTTCCTTCCACTTCAAATCTGCTATACAAACAAAGAAGTTAACCGGCTACCGCCAAGCTTTCTGCATGACCTAGTATTATCTGTTCCCAAGAAGCTGGCATAAAAGCTGACAAATTCCTTATTGCGTGCTCTGACTAATTCAGAAGAAATATGATTGTCACCCAATAACTAATCAGAATCAAATCTCTACTGGTTGAGTGAGCCAGCAGTGACAGGTTTTTTATTAATGATCACAAAACCACCGCTGCACACAGCACATTCAAAGACAGGCTATAGCCAGAGCTCTAAGAGGTGGTTATAATGGCCAGGAAACTTAATGATGCACTTGCTCTTCATGCATCTCTCCCCAAGAATATATCATATTGTGCTTAGATAACGACGGCCTACCTTCTGTGGTGCCCCAGCGGGCACTAGCTGCCTGAAATGGAAGGAAAAGGATGAAGTTAAACTGCGAATCAGCCAGTTTAGCAAGCTGACCTACAGAAGGAAAAACATCCACCTTCCACATGTCATTGAGACTGCCGAGCTGCTAAGTGCTTCTTGAAGGTCCTCAAGAGCAATTCTGGCATAGAGGTATTTCGTGCTTGAACATAACATCTTGCATATCCTTTATTGCTAAAAGGTGCCATCAATGCAACCAGCCCTCAAAGTCTGAAATTGGTTTGACTAGTTCTCAGTTCCACAGACCCACTTCCTCTCTATTAATGTATCTTTCTCTAAATTTAGTCTTAAGCTTATGATCAGACTGTGTGAGTGTTTTGTTTCATCCCATACCTTACTAGCATAAAGGTTATACAAAGAAAATGTACTAAGAAAGAAAAAAAAATTAAAAATGAGGCATTTTCTCACAAAATACTGAGTCAACTCACTTCCTCAAGGGATTAACTGTTTTATGCAGGTGTGAGATTTTAAAAACCACAAAAAAATTATGATCGATGCTATCAAGTACTGCAGTAGTACAAAAACAGGAGCAGCCCGACTTCACAGGTCTGGCTGTTTGGCATATTCTAATCACAAGACAGGGGTCCTTCTCTCATTTACATCATATTTGCGTGGGGTTTTCACCTTGCTTCAAACCATAGCATTTCAGTCACAGCTAGATGCAGACTCAACAAACTGAAACAATAATGGAATTGCAAGCTGATATCTGAAAATTAAAAATCAGAAAGAAAGCAACTAAACAATGCAATTCATTCGCAACAATAGAATCAAAGTAGCTCCTCGAGGGAAAAAAAAATTAAATAAGTCTGGAACTGACTGCAGGTTTTTTCCTACGCACATCCACATGGATGCCAACTTTGTATGTCAGAACAATTACACTCCTGCATGCAAATGGCCAGTTCTAAGTGTGAAAATTTCAACTGTGTGCTTAATTACCCGCTTGTGTTCAAATTGCTGTAAATACAACTTATTGCCACTCAAGTCTGTTTTTTAAAACTTCTTCCACAAAGATGGGATCCAATGAAACCTGCTGTGTTAAACATAACATTCCATATAGGCAGATAAAAATTGGGCATCAGTTCTAACAACTAATAATTTAACAAAACAAAAACTAAAATAATATTTTTTTTTATTTTAATCTTAAAATCAAACATAAGAATCAAAATATTCTTTAGTTAAAAAGTCTGACATCCCCACAAAATTAATTTTAAAAGATTTTCAACTGTGTTTTTCAATTAGTGTATTGAAGTTGAGCCAACCTCAGTTTGCATGTAGACCTCAGGATTCTGGCTGTAAATCTTTGCTATCTGGTTTCCTGTAAAACGCTGAAAAAGAAATGCAAATGCTTAGAAACACAAACCCTAAATGGAGTCAATAATCATTAACTCTGTGTAATGAGTTCAGTACATCGCACTTTGGATATTTAATTTGCCTGATGCATGATGAAAGTCAGCGCACAGCAGGCAATCTGCACTAAACAGGCTATAACGCACAGTCTCATTATGAGAATTTTGCTCACCTTTTGAAAAAAAAGCATGTGAAAAAGCATTACTATCCATAATTTACATTTCAGAAATGACAGTTCAATGGAATGAATCACATTTATTCTGTGCACAGGAACCAGCACCATTCAAATGCTGCCTTCAAACCCTTGAAAAGGTTTAAGCTACCCAACCTATGTACCCCTCTGTGAGGCAGGTGAATTGTGAACAAAGCAGGAAGCTTCATCCTCAAAGAAGCAACTCCAGCACAGGCTAATAATAGTTGTAAGAATAATTATTTTTCATTCACGTATTATATCGAATAACAAAAAACTTCTAGCACTGAAACCTTAACCTTTAGCAAGTTAAAAATAAACCGTTAGTGGTATGCAAAGTCTGATTTCAACGCTGGCCATAGAGCTTGCACAATGATTCAAACACAAAATCAGCAATCTGGGAGGTCAGAGCTTTGTTCTGTTGACCCAACAGGAGGAGGAGCCAGGAGCTGAGATGTCTGGAGGGCAGCCCTGCTCCAACTCATTGTCACAGTTACAAGAGTCTCTCGTGAGACCCCACCTGGAATACTGCATTCAGCTCTGGAGTCCCCAACACAAAAAGGACATGGAGCTGCTGGAGTGAGTCCAGAGGAGGCCATGAAGATGATCCGAGGGCTAGAGCACCTCTGCTATGAAGACAGGCTGAGAGAGTGGGGGCTGTTCAGCCTGGAGAAGAGAAGGTTCCAGGGTGATCTTATTGCAGCCTTCCAGTACCTAAAGGGGGCCTACAGGAAAGCTGGAGAGGGACTTTTTACAAGGGCGTGTAGTGATAGGACAAGGGGTAATGGATTTAAACTGAAAGAGGGCAGATTAGATCTAAGGAAATGTTTTACAATGAGGGTGGTGAGGCATTGGAACAGGTTGCCCAGAGAAGCTGTAGGTGCCCCATCCCTGGACGTGTTCAAGGCCAGGTTGGATCAAAAATTGGCTGGACGGCCGGGCCCAGAGAGTGGTGGTGAATGGAGTTAAATCCAGCTGGCGGCCGGTCACCAGTGGTGTTCCACAGGGATCAGTGCTGGGGCCTGTTCTCTTTAACATCTTTATCAATGATCTGGATGACAGGATTGAGTGCACCCTCAGCACGTTTGCAGATGACACTAAATTGGGAGGTAGTGTTGATCTGCCTGAGGGTCGGGAGGCTCTACAGAGGGACCTGGACAGACTGGATCGATGGGTCGAGGCCAACTGTATGAAATTCAACAAGACCAAGTGCCTTTTTTCCTGGGCCCGCAACAACCCCCTGCAGTGTTACAGTCTTGGGGAAGTGTGGCTGGAAAGCTGCACAGCAGAGAAGGACCTGGTGGTGCTGGTCGACAGCCGATTGAACAGGAGCCAGCAGTGTGCCCAAGCAGCCAAGAAAGCCAACGCAATCCTGGCATGTATCAGAAACAGTGTGGCCAGCAGAGCAGGGAAGTGATTGTCCCCCTGTACTCAGCACTGGTGAGGCCACACCTGGAGTACTGTGTCCAGTTTTGGGCCCCTCACTTCAAGAAGGACGTTGAGGTGCTGAAGCAGGTTCAGAGAAGGGCAACAAAACTAGTGAAGCGTTTAGAGAACTTGTCCTATGAGGAGCAGCTGAGGGAGCTGGGACTGTTTAGTCTGGAGAAGAGGAGGCTCAGGGGGGACCTTATCGCTCTCTACAATTACCTGAAAGGAAGCTGCAGGGAGATGGGGGTCGGTCTCTTCTCCCACGTTACGAATGACAGGATGAGAGGGAATGGCCTCAAGTTGCGCCAGGGGAAATTTAGTTTAGATATCAGGAAAAATTTCTTTACAGAGAGGGTTGTGAAGTATTG